CGTGGAGCGCGCCCCGCCGCCCGCCGCCGCGCGCCTCGCCCTGCCCGCGCCCGGGCTCCCGCTGGAGCGCTGCGCGCTGCCGCCCCTCGACGGCGGCGGCCTCAAGGCCTACCCGGGCGGCGAGTGCGCGCCGCCGCCCGCCGTCGTGCCGGCCTTCACGGTGTACGGCGGGGACCTGCTCTACGGGCCGCCCGCCGCCTACTACCCGCTGAAGCTGCACCTGGGCGGGCTGCTCACCTACCCCGACTCCCTCTCCTACTTGGGCGGCCCCGCGGCGGCCGTCGGGCCGGCCGAGCTGGGCTCCCTGGCCAGCATCGACCGCGAGCTCGCCAGGCACACGCAGCAGCTCTCCGAGCTGGCGGCCGGCAAGGCGCGCGCGCGCCTGGACCCGGGGGCGCTGCCCGCGGCCGTGGGGGCGGCGGCGGGCGGCGGCGGCGCGGCGGGCAAGCCCAAGGCCGGCCACCTGTGCCTGTACTGCGGCAAGCTGTACTCGCGCAAGTACGGGCTCAAGATCCACATGCGGACGCACACGGGCTACAAGCCGCTCAAGTGCAAGGTGTGCCTGCGGCCCTTCGGCGACCCCAGCAACCTCAACAAGCACATCCGGCTGCACGCCGAGGGCAACACGCCCTACCGCTGCGAGTTCTGCGGCAAGGTGCTCGTGCGCCGCCGGGACCTGGAGCGCCACGTCAAGTCCCGCCACCCCGGCCAGAGCCTGCTGGCCAAGGCCGCCGACGGCGCGGCCGCCGAGCCCGGCTTCGCCCTGGAGCCCGGGGACCCCAAGAGCGAGGACAGCGACGTGGACGTTTGCTTCACCGACGACCAGAGCGACCCCGAGGCCGGGGGCCGCGGCAAGCACGACTCCTAACGAGGCTTTCGAGCAAGGGGCAGGGACCCGGACGGGAGAAGAGCGCGGTGGCGACAGGAAGGTGGCTAGGGTAATTCTGGGAGGGAAGCGAGCCGCTCCAGTTCTGGAGTGGAGCGGAGTTTGAGATGGGTCAATGAAACAGCCGGTGAACAGCCCCCAGGGCGTGGGCAGCCCCCGAGACTGGCGGAGCCTCTCGCCCTGCAAGCACCCTGGTCTTGGAGTTCAGGGTTACATCAATACTAGTATCTCCGTGCCCTCAAAAGTGATGGTTTTAATTGCCACGAGTTTTTACAACGTTCTTTTCTGTGGAGGAAACCGTGCCTTTTGAAAAGATGTTCCGCGTGAGTTTTACGTTACGATTTCACCGCACAGCAGGCAAAACAATAGACGCGACACCCACACACCTGTTCCGTTTTTCATCCGTTCTCTTTTCTGAGACTGCTCCTTGCCACGTTGAGTATACTGTGGTAGTGGATGTACACATTGGTCAAGTTGCAATTTATTTATGAAAGAATAATGATAAATGTAAAATAACGCATGAATCTAAGAGCACGCACTATATAAATAAAAAAAATCCTATTTGGTAGAGTCCAGATGTTTATGTTGTTTTATAATGGACGATGTACAGTGGATACAGTACTTTGCTCTTGTTTCCATTTTGTGCAATCTTTAAGAATAATAAAGGTAAAAATGAGAGTTCTCTTAACTTCGTTACTTCAGGGGGCTCGTTAAAGAAACAGTTTAATTTGAAAACAACCTTTGAGGAAACTTGACAAGATAAGTCGCAGATTTGTATCATTCAGAGAATTAATGTTAATCATAGTTGTACAGAAAGCAGGCAAAACCCACTGGTTTTTAAAGCCGCTGTTGATCATGCTAAGTGTTTCTATGTTCACTTTAAGGGACTTCCGGGAAAAGCACACCAGACCCTCCCACCCTCCCAAAAGTCCTTTACATACATTTCCTTGTCGAAAAGAATCACGGAACTGGAATCAGTATTTCTTGTTGTCTACCATTTTGACAGTTTACCTTGGGGTGTGAGAGGAGATTTGCTCGAGGCCTTTTGTGAGTAATTCCCCTCAGTACTGCTTCAACAAACACTAAGGAGGACCTGTTTTGTCCGCTCTTCCTCCCCTTTGTACTTCTTCCAACAACTTTGTGCTGCCAGTTTTGGTTCCATTATACAGAAGAGAAAATGCCATTTAAAGACGGTGTACAGAACTAATTAGAACAGCACAATTGTTAGCAGCGTTTAAAAAGTAATGTTAGATATACCTTCTAGGACTATTACCCCTGCTCCTTTTAGAGGTAGAGAATTATAACCTTGGTTAAAGGCAGGCACACCCAGGGCCCAGGGTGCAGCAAGTTTCTCAAGTTTGAATTAAAGAATTTGGAAGGTTACCAGAGCTCTGGCTAGGATTCGGATGGCCATGTTCATCTAACCTTGTCCTTTCAGTTCTGCATCTGGACTTTGCAAGTTCTCACTGCTCTCTCCAGATTGGTCACTAGCTTCTTCCTCTTTTCTTCTTCTTCTTCTTCTTCTTCTTCTTCTTCTTCTTCTTCTTCTT